GGGGTCATTTTTTGCCAAATTTTAGCTGACGTCACTTGTGAACAGTCCCTAAGTGAATTAAATTCTTTTCATGAATAATATTGAGTCTCATTAACACTTTTTCCAAAGCACGAGTCACCGTGATGTGGAGAAAGTACTCGTGGAAATAAAAAAAATTGTGCTTGTGCGTGTGAATTACCAGCTACTCATGTCTGTCTAAAAAAATCCGGGGGATCAGAGCATTTTAATTGACTTTCTTGTAGCCCCTTAAAAACGCTGCGGTTTTATTGTTTGTTTGTTGTTGTTTTTTTTAGTGTTTTATGGCCCTTGCTACTGCTTAAGGGAAAACATCAAACATTTTCAGCTGGTAGGAAATTTTGAAATTTGCTCGGGTGGCAGCCGGAGCCCACTCTAATTGATTTTACATAATATAGATATATAACTTGTATGAGGGGCTTAGGATTACAAAACACGCTTCATCCATTTTAGCAGTTGTGAGAAAATCAGCTTTTTAAAATGCATTTATGTGCACGAACTGATTGCAGAAAGTAGAACAGTGAGTGGTATGTAGGGAGCGGTCCACCTACACAGGGAGCTTTATTTTCACAAATGTATAAGGACTACAATGAATTAAAAAGAATTGGGGTATGAATGTGGAATTGATTTGCCAAAACCAATTATATCCCGAAAATAAAAAGGGGGTGGGGTTGGGCTCTCGTGGCCCAGTGGTTAAGGTGTTGGCCTCTCATTCAAAGGTTCCTGGTTTGAATCCGGGTAGTGACCGAAAAAAAAAATCTCTAAAATTGTCTCCTCTCACCTCTTTTCCTGCTCTCTAGCAATGTTCTGTCGTCTGTTTTTGTCTTTTCTTTCTGCCCCCACCCCCTCACCTCCTTTGGCCCCTCCTCTGGGCTACTGACTCTTTCTGCAGCCTCTACATCTAGCCTTTTCGGACAAGGGCGAAAAATCTCCGAGGGCCCGTGTGCAATTTGCTTACGTTAAAGATCCCTTGGTGGTCTAAAATCGATAGAAGTAGGCTTCAGCCGCCACCCTGGCAAAATTCAATATTTCCTACCAACTGAAAACGTTTAATGTGTCCCGCGCGCTCATATGACCGCATGCAGTTGCGAGCGCCGTAAAATACTTCCCAAAACGAAAAACAAAAAAAAAGTCACTTGACACCTTAAGTTCCACTTTCGCTCTAATAACAGCCACAGCAGTCCTCTCTACAGAACTTATCTGTCACAGGACAAAGGATTCTTTGTCTTCTGGCAGAGGGTGAAAGTGAGCTATAGCCATCAAACAATTTAAACGAGCTTTTGAACAAAACTTCTGTTTACATTCGTTGACACCCGTTAGAAAAGGAAGTCACGTGACAATCGGGAAATTTCATTGGCCGATAAAGAAAATTTTAGAATGTATCGAATTTAGGAAAATTGTTATTTTGGATGTATCAGATTTTGAGTTTTTGGTAGCTTTCATTGAGGATGTGTTAGGGGGTTTTGCATCTCACCCCTCTCATATGCAGTTGAACCCCGTTATAATGCCTACCTCAGGACGAGTATGAATTTCGAGGTGCGATGAGGCTGGTAGTATAACATGAGAGCAGTTATAGAACTGATTTCCATCAGGACAAGTGGTAAATACAAGATACAAATTTCGGCTAATCTTGACATTCAGTGTTGCCAGGTGGAAGGTGTTACTCCAGATTCGGTTAAATACATACCGTATGTTTACGGGGATGATTTACCCCCCCCCCCCTTAAAAAATTAAACAAACCACAAAAATAAATTTCAAATGACAATTTAGGTAGGCGCTTAATTGGAATAATGTCGAACCGAGTCTGAGCACCATGGCTTTTTTTTAAAACCTTGCCTTACCCTAACACCAGACGATGTTAGGCTACACCCAGAGGCCCACGGTGCTATCTACTTTCGAAAAAAATACACATTTATTAATAAATTCAGTACGGTTAATCCAGACATGTACCAAAGGCACGGGTTTTTAACTGCAGATTCGTAGATAGAGAAAAGGACCTTAAATTGATTCTAGATTCATCACATGTCCTCCTACGATAGAAGATGGATGTGAAGAAGATTCTTTTTCTACATATTATTGTGGCCTAAATAAGGTCAAGTGGGGGGCTAGCGTATAATTATAGGCCACACATGACCTAAATAAGGTAAGGGGGTAGCTTAGTTAGGCCATATGTGGCCTAAATAAGGTCACCCTAATAATATACAGCGGAGTTTGCTTAAACCGATAGCCAAATTTGAACACTGGGGCGTTTTTTCTTGTAATATTTTAAAAAATTAACCTACATTTTTGTAACAGATATTTTTGGTGGTAAATTAAACCAAAGTGCCTGGCATCTTCGTCTCATTAAGCTAATTATTCGTTGAATCTTGATTTGAGGCATGTTGGTCCCCTCCTCCTGCAAAGCTTGCTCCAATTCATGAAGATTTCTTGGTTGCTGCACAAGGCGGGCATACTCGTCATTAAAATCACGCTCTAAAGCAATACATAGATACGAATTTATAACAATGTATCGTAAGGTTACAACAAAAATAAAGTCGTCCTAAAACAAAAGCAATATCACTGGTAATTATGTTAATTGTTTACGGAACTTACCGCACATTTTAGGCTTTGTGCTGATACCCCTGGAAGCTGAAAAAAAAGTGGCAGACATCAATCATATGATCTCAGTGTAAAGTGTAACAAATACAAAAGGTAGAAGTGACTTGTATTTGCCTTACGTGTAATATGCTGAAGATGCTTCTTGTGCCGCATTGCCCAATGGCCCAAAGCAGCCGAACAGGGTTATTCTTTTTCTTGACTCAGTTAAAACGGCTAACAGACATTGCGCACCGATGTTGCTAGATTGTCTTTCTTGTAAAGAATCGTGTACTTTTTTGGCACTCTTTAGTTGTTGTTTTTTTGGCCTCTTGTTCACTTTCGTGTAACTGCATTTTTAAAAAAATGCTCTCTTATTTATTCGTCTGCTAATGCACACGCAACTTAGCATGGTATTTCTGTTGGCTAGAAACCAAGCAAATTTTTTTTTTCAAAACGTCTTGAACAGGTAATATAAAAACAATATAAAACCGAGTCTTTATTTGGTGCACACTCAGGGTAACTACAATAAAGGATTTACAGCAACAAAGCCTACAATTTGTTCTTTAAGAATCAGCGAAAGCACTTTGCCTCAACATTTCATCGTAAGCTTGTAGATCTATATTTCACCCAAGACAATCTAGACGCCTGCACGTGAGTCTGGAAAAGTGTTCTCTAGCCTGTGGGCGAGTGTATGGTGTTTAATGAAAATAGATCTTCATAATCTTTTTGTGGTTTTGTGTGTGTGCTACTTTTTAAAGGTCTTAATTTATTTTGCATGTTTCGGGCTAACACCATAGGAATCCTGTCGGAACCTTAGTTTGCAGTAACCCCCGTCAATTGGTGCAGCGTTGCACAGCGTTTAAATGGCTGATCGCGAGACACTGCCGTGATATGCATTTCTGAGAAGTCTATGAGGAATACCCGCTTAGCATTGACTAATGCGGTCAAAACACACACACACACACACACACATACACACACTCACACACACACACACACCACCACCACCACCTTCATGATCTCCACCCCACCAGATTAATATATTCCTCATGCTTGGATTTTAAATATAGAAAGATACAAGATTTTTAAAAACGAAGCAACAACAAAGCAAGAAACAGAACCAAGCTTACAAGATTATAATGAACGCTTTTTAAAAACCATCAATAACCTATCGATGCCCCCCCCC